GTTGTGTAATTTTGAAATGGTTTCTTCTTCCTCGGACGCGCCGGTGATAAATAACTTCAGAAAATGATTTTTCGGTAGCTGTGTGACTTTTTCTCGCCCGCTGCGTAAAACCGTGAATGTAACGATGTCGCCTGCAGTTGCATGACGAGTTTATCGAATCCACCTATTAACTATGCCTGACAAACTTGTCGTACAGCACGACGATCTGGCCGTCGGTTTCATTGGGATCTTCTTTTTTCCAAGATTTCCGGGCGAGAGAATGCAACCTTCCTCCCCTCCTTTTTTTTCTCACGATCAATTCGCTACTCGTAGACCGGATGTACATCCGCTAATATCGAAGTTGCGACCGTAAAGTTCCACGCGGCGGTTAACCGAGCTGCGAAGTCAGCCGTACGTCGGTCAGTTAATTAGCCGGTTAGCCGGTTTATTTTTACACGGGTTTTCGTATTAATAGCGCCATTAATCTCGAATCTGCATCTGAATCGCGAGCGTTGTCGCGATGTTAAGCGTCCGCGCGAGATTGCGATCGGAGATTCATCGCAAGGCGGGTGAGACTCGAGGCTAAAAATTAACATTCAATTTAACGAGTCAACGCTTCAGCGCGCGTAATTGACGCGTCGGCGCTCGCGACTTCTCGGGTTTGTTGAAACTTGTATGGATCTTCGAGACCCGCGGTCTCTTCTCGAGGCGACGCGAAGCGACGGGAGACCCGGCGCGCTGTAATCGCGAGAAAGAGCGTGGCACTCCTCGACCCCCTGATTATTATAACACCCCGCGCCCCGCGTATCAGGCCGACGGAGGCGTGTAATCGCGATCGTCCTCCACGACGAATTTCACGAGATCCCGGCAATCGCACGGGTTTTCTACAACGGATGGCAATTACGCGTCGCGATACTTGGCTCGCGTGCAAGGAGAAAAAGAGAGAGAGAGAGAGAGAGAGAGAGAGAGAGAGAGAGAGAGAGAGAGAGAGAGAGAGAGAGAGAGAGAGAGAGAGAGAGAGAGAGAAGAGAGACGTGCGTTATCGTCCCGCGTAATTGAAACTCGTTAGCGAATCGTGCCACGCACGAATCTGAAAGGCCGGGGGAAACAGATAACGGGGAGGAGGAACCGTATCCGGCCTTATCGCGCTCGTTTCCGAACGGAATTAAAGGCTTGCTATTAAAACGCCGGGATTCATGAGCCCCCGCATCAAAGGAGCTTTATGCGCGACGTTCTAGCGCTGGCTAGTCTCGATACGACACAGATAACGGGGCTCGAGGGCGAGTCACAAGGCCCACATTTTAAAGTATACAATCCCGCCACTCGAAATAAATCTTATATATACACACTTTAAATATTCTCTATTCGCGACATTTATAAAATCATTTCATGATCAGACGTTTCTTTGTGCTCCGCTCTCGCGCATTCTTTTTTTTTTTTTCTTTTTTTTTCTTTTTTCTTTGTACATTTTAAAACGCTTGCTTTAAATGCCTTTTTCTTCCTATCCTAAAATCGACACAATTTTCTGTGAGTTTAAAAAAAATTTGAAGCAGCGTTGCTCTATGAATTATACATCACGACTTATCTCCTTTTTTTTTTTTTTTTAAGTAATTTCTTTTTTAAAGTTATGTCTTTTCGACTTAATGAAATTTCTGTATAAGATCGCTCCCTGCAAATTCCGTACTACGATCTATTTTGCTTGAGGCCGGATAGTTTATCACCCGGAGTTTTCGCGGATTTACAAAATTTCGCGATAATGTTGCTACACGCGAATTACTATGGTTCACGGTCGAAGACGTTTCGCAAATATTCCGAAATTCTTTCTTCTTATCGGTGCGTTTAATCAAAACTTGTTAGTGCGACGGTTCGTTGGTTGTATGTATCTAGACCGCAGAGGAAACCGATATCGGAGGAAGAAACTTATCCGCTCTTATCGTGGTCGTTTCCGACTAGCGTTTAAAACTGTTTATGCCGCTCGCGCGACGACGCTAGCTCGCGCGCGTGCATTCACATAATATCGCGCTTTTTGCTGCGTTTGCTCGATTTAAAATTAGAAAAAGCTTGCTTCATGAATACACATCGGCTCATACGATTCATATTGACGCAACTTCGTGCCGTGCCTACCGAATTATTTTTGCGTTTAGATATCTGCGTGATATCTGTCGTCGGACATTTTTTTTTTCAGCACTGCATACAGGCGATATAATTTTTTTATATTAAAGAAAATCTCTACCAACTGAAAGATCATATCAAAAGACACAATTTCACAATGGCAATTAAATATTCAAAAAATAAAAATTTAATTTTCATTAAGGAATTATATAAAAAAAATAAAGATAAAAATTATCCAAATGAATACTGTAAAGATT